GGCAGCCAAACTACTTTCCGCCGTCCAGCACCACGCTACGGAGAGTTTAGGCGAGTAAGTTGAGTTTACTATCGTCTGTACAGTATGTAAATTAGGTACCGTAAGTCTAATACAGCACTAATTTTATACATTTCTTGTGAAAGAAACATTTCTTATTCAACGGCCAGCCATAAAAATTATTTATATTAATGATGTCTCCAAAGTTCAACGAAGTTTTCGCAGAAAAATAATTTATCAGAAAACGCGGCCGCCGTTTGGTGCGCTGCTCCGCGACGAAAACAAGCTTAAGNGTTGGTGCTCTGTAAAGTGCATGTGCAAATCTGGCTTTTTGGAATCTGACAATACAGAGATTCCACTCTGCCACTAATATTCGAATATACAATAGCAATCTTATTATTTTTTTTTTTTTCACGTGTAGTATAGAAATTTGTAATAAGATACATAATGCAGTTATAATAAAATATTGTGCGATTATTTTCATATAATTAAAATTAATATGTATTTATTTTTTATAAAATACAAGGGAAGCGGCACTTCCACTGCTTCTAATGACGACATGCCACTGCTACTAATGAGTAAAATTAAGTCTGCCACCATTCGCGTATAATTCCCTACTTCTCTATCTTTCCTTCCCTTTGACATATAATATCAAAACAATAGCATCAATACCTCATGTATAGAAGTAATTTGCGCCAAATCTCTAGGATCCCGCAATAAAAATCAAAATACAGGCCAAAACATGCACACGCACACGATTCTGCTGTCTCCCTTTTTAAATTACACGTCAAAAAGGGGCAAAATTATGTTTCCTTTTGTCACTTTAACAGCCAGAAAAGGAATAAATTAAAATACAAGAACCTGGAAAATATAATTATCATGATAAACGGTTAACATTATAAATTTGTTATGTTAGAAAATACCGTACAGTGAAACTTCCATTAATGAACATCTGTACTTAATTAATGGACATTTTTACAATCCCCAGACCTTTCAAATAGGACATCTATTCCTCTAAATAGTGGACACTCTAAATAATGGACACCGTTGACTTTAACCAACCTTACAAAAACATTGTTTCGCCTTCAATATTCTGAAAGAATTAATTACGTACGAAATATTTTAAAACTAAAAAGAATAGATTCAAATACTCTTTCAGAGTATCGTAAGCATCGAATAAAGACGCTGAAAATAGGAATGGGGAGGAGCCAGGAAAGGTAAATAAACAAATTAAACTGTTTAAAAGTATTTATATGATGTTTAATAACACTAAATAATTATTTTTTTACTATAATTAGCGTCGTGTTAACTCCGAGAAACAGTAGGAAAGTTCAAATGCGGTTTTCTTGTTTTCACGACATACTTCTGTTAAGAGAAGTAGTGGCTATAAATCCCTATGCATATGAAAATCCGAAAGATGCTTGGAAAAGTATATCGGAAAATTTACGGACGTTTTACACTTCACATTACATTAAAAATATTAAATAATTTTTGGATTAAAATCGTCTGTTTCTTTACAATGTTATTTATAAATGCTTAAATAATCGTTATTTTAATAAAATAAATCATAATTTTAACCCCAAACACGAAAAAAAATGAAGACGTTTAAGCCGATCGTGTACTCACCAAGCTACAGGTAGCAAACGCCAACATCGACGGTCCAGAACTGCCAGATGGCGGCGCTCACTCGTTAGCCGTACACGTTTTGGGCTAAATACGTGTGCCTCAACCTCTCTAGTATCTTGTAAGAATTTGAACCATTTTATTTCATATCTTCGTCCACCTACGATTCGGACCGATTGAATTGAGCATGGAATAGTGTTACCATCCGGACAGTCCGGGAATCGACTCGCCGTCCGGGGGATATCATGTGCAACCTGCCGACCTTTTTTTTTTTTATTTTTGCTTGTACGATCTATTCGTATATATACACTTCCAATATCCAATAGAGCTAGATCACTTATTCCTATCCAAGTCTCCCTAGTCGCTAACTGTAACTGGTTTAGAACCAGCATGCACTGCACATTATTCTTCGCATTGCAAAATGACATTCCGTCAGGAACTTCTGTTCGAACAAACCTCACCTGCCGTCCGGGTCAGAGATTTTAAAAAGGTGGCAACACTAGCACGGAATTTTTCATTACTTATTCTTGACAAAACTGAATTTTAGTCTTTTAAATTGAGATACCTAAATAAGGTGGCGAAATTTTCCCTCGCCCCGGGCGGCTGACACCAATGCTATACCACTGCTACGAGTGGCTAATGGATGGAATCGAAGACGGTTGCAGAGCGTGGATACAGGCGGACTGACAAATCCCCAGGGTGGCGATACCGGTCAATGTCAAATACCTCTTTTGTTGCATCACTAGTATATCTCAAAGGACGCAACAGGGCTGTTGTAGATTTTAAACGTTTCTCACCATAGCTGTAAAAATCAAAATATGTTAAACTTAATAGTCATTTGTTTTCTAACTAATTCGTTTTAGGACCAAGTGTCCTCAGAAATTTCCAAAATTTACAACTTTTCGGTCAATCTCGTTGAAGTGGAAAAATTTCTGTCTTTATTACATTAATAATATGAAGAAATCAGTCTCCACTGTACTTGGCTAAAGATGGTTCGGTTAAGCTTTTGTTTAAGTAAAATTTTGGCTCTTTCATCAGGGTTTTGTTTATGTCCCCAATTCTCTAATCGCTTAATTATTTAACCACTTAAGTAGAATCAAGTCGAAACCAGTTACTTTGTACTAGAATATTTGTAGTCTTGGGAAAAAAATGGAAAGACAAATTTTTATGACAAACAGATACATAAATTGTAAATTTAAGGAAAATAAATTCTAGAGCTTTTTCTGTATCTCGTGCATCACTCTCATTCATTAAATTTAGTTGTAAATGATGCTGTAGAAATAACAGTTAATTTTTTAACATTATACAAGAATTGTACTCGATTTTTCTACATCCCCTTAGAGATGGGATATACGAAATCGTAATAGCACTGGTTTAACATTGAAATCCGCGAGTAATATAAAATCGGAAAGCGGAATAAATATATCAAATATTTTAATGGATTTTTTTAACTCCTGTCAACTATACAGAACTATTGTAAAAACATACCAGTAAATTCTTATCGATTGGGTTAAGTTATAAATCTATTCATTATTCACGTAATCGAAATATCTAGTGGGCAGGCGGCTAACAGCCCAGAACTGGTCCCGGATGGAATTGGAAGCATTATATGTGTAGCATCAACCTAAGATTGTAGGCTTCTACCGGCTAAACCAAGCGAGGTTGGTGCTCTGTAAAGTGCATGTGCAAATCTGGCTTTTTGGAATCTGACAATACAGAGATTCCACTCTGCCACTAATATTCGAATATACAATAGCAATCTTATTATTTTTTTTTTTTTCACGTGTAGTATAGAAATTTGTAATAAGATACATAATGCAGTTATAATAAAATATTGTGCGATTATTTTCATATAATTAAAATTAATATGTATTTATTTTTTATAAAATACAAGGGAAGCGGCACTTCCACTGCTTCTAATGACGACATGCCACTGCTACTAATGAGTAAAATTAAGTCTGCCACCATTCGCGTATAATTCCCTACTTCTCTATCTTTCCTTCCCTTTGACATATAATATCAAAACAATAGCATCAATACCTCATGTATAGAAGTAATTTGCGCCAAATCTCTAGGATCCCGCAATAAAAATCAAAATACAGGCCAAAACATGCACACGCACACGATTCTGCTGTCTCCCTTTTTAAATTACACGTCAAAAAGGGGCAAAATTATGTTTCCTTTTGTCACTTTAACAGCCAGAAAAGGAATAAATTAAAATACAAGAACCTGGAAAATATAATTATCATGATAAACGGTTAACATTATAAATTTGTTATGTTAGAAAATACCGTACAGTGAAACTTCCATTAATGAACATCTGTACTTAATTAATGGACATTTTTACAATCCCCAGACCTTTCAAATAGGACATCTATTCCTCTAAATAGTGGACACTCTAAATAATGGACACCGTTGACTTTAACCAACCTTACAAAAACATTGTTTCGCCTTCAATATTCTGAAAGAATTAATTACGTACGAAATATTTTAAAACTAAAAAGAATAGATTCAAATACTCTTTCAGAGTATCGTAAGCATCGAATAAAGACGCTGAAAATAGGAATGGGGAGGAGGGTAGGTTGTAAAAAGCCAAATAATACTCTATCTGTTAGAAAACACTAATCTGGTTAAGTTGTCAATCATCATTTATAGTCATACATATTAATGTCATTAAACTTGTCTTATTGTTGAACTTAAGCTAAAGCTTCATATCTCCCCACGAATTAACAATTATACAAACATAAATATAATAAACAACTGGATAAAATTTAAAATAGTTTTCATTTTTAATTTTTAAAAACCCGTTTTAATATTTTAATTTAAAACAAGATAAATTAAGAAATAACGTGACTTCTGGTCTAAAGCGTTAGTTCGTATATAGTTCATTGGAGCCTCCTGCCAGTACTCTGTTGGCATCAGATCACAACCTTTATTTAACTCAGTTATTGATATTAGAGGACAGACTGACAGCCAACAGTGAAAATTTATTGCTTTAATAATTTTTTTCAAATTACAGCCCAAAAAATTGACTTATTGCATAAATTTTCATATCAGATGTAAAATATGGGTTATAAACACCAAAACATTTACTTAACAGGACAACATTTATTAGTTAAAAAATAGGTAAATTTTGGACGTGCTCAAAGTTCCATAATATATAGAGTTTTTATTCAAGAACGTTTTACATAAAGCCATTTTAATTATATATAGAATAACAACAAGTCAGGTATTGATATGAGTTATGACAATGAATAACGAAATCGGTTTCCAACAAATTTCTACATAAACTTTCCTTTGTATATTCAAACAGAAAATTGCAATTAGAAAATTTCAGCAAACTCGAAAATATTAAAATTTTGTTTTAAAAAGATGCAGGTGCTAAAAATATCGAAATCGATGGGTGTTACTTTTTTTAAATATAATTATAAAATTCAAAGAGAATAACGTCTGAATATGAATATTGTAATGTTTTTTAGTCCAAACTTTTTGGAAATTGGAAAAACAATTTTAATTTAAAACCAGTTTTGCCTACATCTTTCAATCATTATACATCAATAGAAATTAAAAATAATATTCCTTTGAAATTTCTAAGTGAATATTCTAATGTACTTTTAGATCTTGGTTTTGAATGAATTTTGGTGGACATAATTAACATTCACAGGGCTTTTGTCTATTGTGGGTCCTAAAGTGTTTAATTAAATGCGCTTTTTGTCTAAACTTCTGTTTACACTCGTCACAACTGTATGGCTTTTCTCCAGTATGGATCCGAAAGTGAGCAAGTAAGTTTCCCTTTTGTCTGAACTTCTGTTTACACTCGTTACAACTGTATGGCTTTTCTCCAGTATGGATCCGAAGATGTTCAGTTAAGTTTCCCTTTTGTCTAAACGTCTGTTTACACTCGTTACAACTGTATGGCTTTTCTCCAGTATGGATCCGAAGATGTTCAGTTAAGTTTCCCTTTTGTCTAAACTTCTGTTTACACTCGTTACAACTGTATGGCTTTTCTCCAGTATGGGTCCGAAGATGTTCAGTTAAGTTTCCCTTTTGTCTAAACGTCTGTTTACACTCGTTACAACTGTATGGCTTTTCTCCAGTATGGATTCTTTCATGAGTTTGCAAACTTTGTCTAGTTGCAAAATTCTTCTTACAGTGTTTACATAAAAGTTTCTTTTGATTCCTTTTATCTGCAATTAAAAAAATTGTTTTAAATAATATTTTATCCATATACAATAAAAAATTTCTTAAATAAAAACAATAATTAAATCAATAATAATATTTAACCAAATAATAATTTTTATATCTAAAAACAAATTTCTGCATCAAAACACAAAAACTAATTTTAGAAATAATAAAGTTCGAGTGTATATGTTTTATGCCACTAATATATTAAATCACAGTTCACGACATATTTAAAGTCACTAATATATTAAATCACAATTCACGACATATTTAAAGTACACAATTTCTGTAAAAAACAGTTTTCAAGTGTTTTATATCGTAATGAATTTTCTTTTTTGTATCGTTGCAGTAGACCTTTTGCTTCTTTCATGTTTTTAAATGAAGAGCACTGAAGTAAAGCAGTATTTCTAATATTCAAGTTTTTCTTTAATCTTGGAAAATATTTTCTTCTAAATCTTGTGTTTCATCCAAAGAACAACTGAAAGTAATAACAACATACGTGAGATAAATTATATAAAATTTAATTTTACATGACTTTTAATATTAGAATGTATAATTCATATTCTTATTTATTCCTATTGTTAAATGCAAAGTTGTATAATATGTTATATTCAGATAAAAAGAATATTGATTTTTTATAAGAATTGTGTTAAGTATACTCCCTCATAACTCCCTTCTCCATAAGAGGAAATCACAACGTTGGAACGTATAAAATTCAAATTGTTAAGACTGAATCATGGATTTCATTGTTGCAAGATTGAATTTCGTTCTTCTCATTTTTAGTTTGTTTTCCGTATTTCCAGATTGAAAATTAGCTAAATAGAAAAATAAAATAAAACGACCTTAAATATCAGAAAAACTCATATTCAATGTATATTGATTGTACAGTGATTAAAATTCCTATTCTCTACGCTAAATCTTTTAATATATATAAATTCTCTTTTTAAATTATTTGATATTTGCAGATTTAATAAAATACCAATGAACTTTTAAAAAATATATTTTGGTAATTTAAAATTTTTTGTGAAGAGTCAATAGTGAATTTTTTAAATTCTTCTAAAATCATGTCTATACCAAAAATATCTATACAGAATGTAAATGGTATGTAAAAAAATAAGTCTAAACTGGAATAAAACTACATTTTGTTATTGTAAAAGTTTACATTGATTAACTACTTGTAATATGAAACATAAAAGATTACGAGTAGTTCAAGCTTGTAATATTTTCAGTCGACTGCAAATTTAACAACTTGGCTCTGTTGGTAGAACTGTGAACAGAATATCTATTGGCACATGTTTTTCCTTAAACATGGAGAAGGAAGTGTTATGGTTTGGGCATAAACGGCAGCCTATGGAGATGGAAGACACGTGTTTAATGATGGAAATATGTATGGAGAATGTCCATATATGATCAGAAAATTGGCAAACACCACAGAAAAACTATTAATGGACAATCACTGCCAAACAAATTCAACGCTGTGCTGGAGTGGAGTGAAGAGACAATCCATCAAGATATTGAAATATTCAATCTTTTGGTCAATCAATTGAAATATTCAATCTTATAACTAAATTTTAAATTGAAATAAATGTGATATGTTCCATGACCATTTGTTACGTCGATTTTGTTTCTGTACTTTTCTACTCTAAATTAGAATCATTAAGTGAAATAAATATGTTATTATTTCGTTTTCAAAGACAAGAAATAATATAAGATTTATATAAATATCAGAAAATTAAAAGTTCTAATTACATTTCTTTCTGAATTCGCTTAATGACAGTCACTGCATATTTCCAAACGAATTTGAAAAAAGAAAATTGGAATGACAATTAAAAGTAAATATCAAAACGAATGGTAAAACCTTAAACATAAAAAATTACGAGGTTTGCCTAAAATTGTTATTATTTTAAACTTGTATAGTTACTCGGGAAAATTATTTTGATATTTAAAGTGATGAAAATAAATGACTTTAACTTATTTCATATAAAGTCAAAGTTGCATTTGAATTAAGTAAGAATGCATATTAAATTGGAAGTAATGAGTTAGAGTCAACTTGAAAATATTTAATAAGAATGTTAAATTTCGTCTTCAAAATGAAAAAATGCAGCAACCAGTTGATTAACTTTCTTGGCAACAATTTGTGGCGCCATCTGTTACGATATTGTCTTAAAAATAACTTTTTATACTTTTAATTATAATAAAATGGCAAAAAAAATAATTTTGAGGGTAGGCTTGGTGTTATAAAAAAATTGGAAATGTCGATAACGAGTAAAATTGTCATTAAGTGTGACCCTATTCGAGATATGACACTCTTTCCCCTTTAACCACCAAAATTTAATAGCGTTAATCCCCTAATACAGAAACCTCCCTGCAAACTTTCAGAAATCTTCGACAATAAGAACAAGCGTTATTAAACTTCAAACAGGGTGAACAAAATTTACTTAGAATTTTTACCCCCCTTCCCTTCTTGTTCCAGTTTGTCCAAGATTCTGTAACCTTCTCCCATCTTTGGACGTCCAACGAAACTCAACACCCCCTTCAAAATCTTTATCACTATATGAATAATAGATACCATAAGTATAAACAAAACATACAAGAAATTCTGAAATTACCATATGACAAAGTCGCTAAATCCTGAAGAAATTCGCTATAAGGAAATTTCATTACATACAGCATTCATACTTTCTGGTAAATAAAATAGCGAAAAAATTACGTTAAAATACTATTTTATGTACTTTAAGTGAATACAAACGTAATTTTAATTTTAAGCAAGTTTACATTTAATTGTTAAAATACAAGTTATTTTAATTACATTTTCATAAAATGATTTGTAATTTTTCGTTACAGTGAACAATTAAAACGTGTTCTCTTCGTAATATGCTTCACACTTATTTAAGAACATTAAAAATGCCCCATCTACATCGACATAAACACAGGTTCTAGCACGTTTTGCTGTAGGTCTTGCTTCATTGACTATTTGTTATTATGGTTGATAATATACTCACAGGAATTCCAAATTTTGCTGCAATGTCTCTCTTTTTTAGCATTTATCAAATTCCCGCAACACAGCTTTTTAGTAATGCTTAAACACTTTTGCTTTGACATTTTTGTATTATAGTATAAGAACCATCCAAACTCAAGCCTGAAGTTTAATTAAAATTGAAAAGTTGCATTTCACTTTCTCATATTTCTGACAGCTCCGACAGACAGATTTAGGAAAGTTCCTTTAAACTTAACATAGCATTCAACACTGTCTTGCAAGCATGGACGTCCACAAGCAAGATGGCAAACGGAACTGCTGCCGGTGGGTTCGACATTTGACGGCAAATATCTCACAAATGGTCGGCCGTCGGATTTTTCTTTATTCTTTCACGATAAATATCATTAGAACGTCTGATCATCGTGCTGCACTGTCTGTTAATTAAACACGCGATAGGCCTAACAGAGCCTACAGCCTACTTCCAGGCGCTATGGGGAGTGACTCGTCATAGCACCTGGAAGTAGGCTATAGACTGAATTCAGAGATATATCACATCTGGTTAGATTTACCCTAGGTATCCAAGATAGCGGCCCATCCGGTAACCTCGACGGCACGTGCGTTTACAAATGAAATGTAGATAGCGCTTATCATACTGACAGTTTCGTATGCAAACTTTCTTCAAAAATTTCCACTCGAACAATATGAGGAATTATGCAAATTTTGAGTTCGGTTACGGTGTAGACCAGGAGTGGCGAACAGCTTTTGCCCCTGGGCCGAATTGGAAAGAAAACTTTTTCCATGGGCCGAACCAGAGGCTGCCCTAGGAAGATTTTGAGATGGTGCGAGATCTCATTATGGTGTCACCCGATAGAGACTAAATTGTATATAGAGATTACAGAAACATTTTTCACATTATCATGCTTTATCAACATTCTATGCTGTACTTAAGAGATTTGTAATGGAGATCTGGCCCGCAGGCCGTATGTTGGCCATGTCTGACCTAGGTGATGTTATATTTGTATGCCGAAGCGGCGAGCGAAGTGAGGCGCGAGGCTGCAATTCCCCATAAACTTATACTTGCACTCCAGGCAAATCCTGTTCGAACCACTGATGTATCCAATCTCGTAATTCACTACCTCCGGTTATCAATGGTTTTCAGGTAGTATGGTGAATTTTATTTTTCGTCTCCGATCCAAAAGTAGGAAATGAAACCAAAAGGCACGGGAAAAAGTAAGTAGAAAATTTACATTAAAAAAAAAAAAAAGTTTAAATATAGACGCGTTTTGGTTGTTGTCGACAGTCGCCATCTTGTTTGCATATGTGCATGCGAAAACAAGATGGCGACCGGAAGCATCGACCGAATTGGCGCCCGCTGCCATCTTGGATACGTAGCGTAAACCTAACCCTAAATGGAAACGCAATCGAACTAGTGATTCCACTCTAAAGTTTCGGAAATCAGAAGATTCCGCTCGCAATAAACCCTACACATTTAAAATTTTTGTTTTAATTATTATAAAAAAATGTTTTATTGATAAATATTAATTATTTTAGTTAATTATAATATGGATATACGTAATTCATAGCGAGAGTACTGCTGGTTGATATTTTTAACCATAAAATTAAAAGAAGGAAATCGAAACCAAAACATCTATTATTTACATTTTGGTGTGAAGTAAAATCTTAATACTACTTTAAAACAAATAAAACTATTTCAAACTACATAATGTTGACATTAAAATTATTAAAATAAAATTTATTGTTAAATATTTTTAAAAAATAAATACATTATTATTAAAACGAAAATAAAACATCCAAGATTACCTCCAAAAGCTCCAAATCTTGGAAAAAAATCCCTTAGAATGGAATCGAACTATACCGTCATTCATGGACAGTAACAAACTCCGTACAATCAGCGTTTAAATATGCAAATTTTAAAGAGTAGGTAACATTCGCCAAAGAGATCTCGTACGAGGAGCGGAAGTATGACATAGGGAGATTGTAGGATTGTAAAATTTAACCGAAAAAAATTTGAATATAATCTACTTTTAACGTATGGGAAAAAAATATATACAGTGCGTGATCGGTTAACAAACATAATCTGTTCCAAGAATTTGTTCGTTAATTAACCGATTATCGATTTACCATAGGTTTTAATGGAAATTTAATTACTGTAATTCGTTCTGGAGACCCCAAAAATAAAAAATATATACTTTCTTACTACGTTTATTTATATGTAATAATAAAAATATGTACATACACAGTCTTGCATTTTTATTAGTCATGTCTTTTCCGTTTGAAAGGGTTAAAGAATTTGTTTAATGTCGATTGCTTTTCTCTCTTCTTCAGGATTTTTCGGAAGTACAGTGGAACCTCGGTATACGACCTTAATCCGTTCCTGGTGTTTGGACTTATACCGAATAGGACGTATACCAAACCAACCTTTTCCATNTAATAGAAATTAATATGTATTTATTTTTTATAAAATACAAGGGAAGCGGCACTTCCACTGCTTCTAATGACGACATGCCACTGCTACTAATGAGTAAAATTAAGTCTGCCACCATTCGCGTATAATTCCCTACTTCTCTATCTTTCCTTCCCTTTGACATATAATATCAAAACAATAGCATCAATACCTCATGTATAGAAGTAATTTGCGCCAAATCTCTAGGATCCCGCAATAAAAATCAAAATACAGGCCAAAACATGCACACGCACACGATTCTGCTGTCTCCCTTTTTAAATTACACGTCAAAAAGGGGCAAAATTATGTTTCCTTTTGTCACTTTAACAGCCAGAAAAGGAATAAATTAAAATACAAGAACCTGGAAAATATAATTATCATGATAAACGGTTAACATTATAAATTTGTTATGTTAGAAAATACCGTACAGTGAAACTTCCATTAATGAACATCTGTACTTAATTAATGGACATTTTTACAATCCCCAGACCTTTCAAATAGGACATCTATTCCTCTAAATAGTGGACACTCTAAATAATGGACACCGTTGACTTTAACCAACCTTACAAAAACATTGTTTCGCCTTCAATATTCTGAAAGAATTAATTACGTACGAAATATTTTAAAACTAAAAAGAATAGATTCAAATACTCTTTCAGAGTATCGTAAGCATCGAATAAAGACGCTGAAAATAGGAATGGGGAGGAGGGCAGGTTGTAAAAAGCCAAATAATACTCTATCTGTTAGAAAACACTAATCTGGTTAAGTTGTCAATCATCATTTATAGTCATACATATTAATGTCATTAAACTTGTCTTATTGTTGAACTTAAGCTAAAGCTTCATATCTCCCCACGAATTAACAATTATACAAACATAAATATAATAAACAACTGGATAAAATTTAAAATAGTTTTCATTTTTAATTTTTAAAAACCCGTTTTAATATTTTAATTTAAAACAAGATAAATTAAGAAATAACGTGACTTCTGGTCTAAAGCGTTAGTTCGTATATAGTTCATTGGAGCCTCCTGCCAGTACTCTGTTGGCATCAGATCACAACCTTTATTTAACTCAGTTATTGATATTAGAGGACAGACTGACAGCCAACAGTGAAAATTTATTGCTTTAATAATTTTTTTCAAATTACAGCCCAAAAAATTGACTTATTGCATAAATTTTCATATCAGATGTAAAATATGGGTTATAAACACCAAAACATTTACTTAACAGGACAACACTTATTAGTTAAAAAATAGGTAAATTTTGGACGTGCTCAAAGTTCCATAATATATAGAGTTTTTATTCAAGAACGTTTTACATAAAGCCATTTTAATTATATATAGAATAACAACAAGTCAGGTATTGATATGAGTTATGACAATGAATAACGAAATCGGTTTCCAACAAATTTCTACATAAACTTTCCTTTGTATATTCAAACAGAAAATTGCAATTAGAAAATTTCAGCAAATTCGAAAATATTAAAATTTTGTTTTAAAAAGATGCAGGTGCTAAAAATATCGAAATCGACGGGTGTTACTTTTTTTTAAATATAATTATAGAATTCGAAGAGAATAACGTCTGAATATGAATATTGTAATGTTTTTTAGTCCAAACTTTTTGGAAATTGGAAAAACAATTTTAATTTAAAACCAGTTTTGCCTACATTTTTCAATCATTATACATCAATAGAAATTAAAAATAATATTCCTTTGAAATTTCTAAGTGAATATTCTAATGTACTTTTAGATCTTGGTTTTGAATGAATTTTGGTGGACATAATTAACATTCACAGGGCTTTTGTCTATTGTGGGTCCTAAAGTGTTTAATTAAATGCGCTTTTTGTCTAAACTTCTGTTTACACTCGTCACAACTGTATGGCTTTTCTCCAGTATGGATCCGAAAGTGAGCAAGTAAGTTTCCCTTTTGTCTGAACTTCTGTTTACACTCGTTACAACTGTATGGCTTTTCTCCAGTATGGATCCGAAGATGTTCAGTTAAGTTTCCCTTTTGTCTAAACGTCTGTTTACACTCGTTACAACTGTATGGCTTTTCTCCAGTATGGGTCCGAAGATGTTCAGTTAAGTTTCCCTTTTGTCTAAACGTCTGTTTACACTCGTTACAACTGTATGGCTTTTCTCCAGTATGGATTCTTTCATGAGTTTGCAAACTTTGTCTAGTTGCAAAATTCTTCTTACAGTGTTTACATAAAAGTTTCTTTTGATTCCTTTTATCTGCAATTAAAAAAATTGTTTTAAATAATATTTTATCCATATACAATAAAAAATTTCTTAAATAAAAACAATAATTAAATCAATAATAATATTTAACCAAATAATAATTTTTATATCTAAAAACAAATTTCTGCATCAAAACACAAAAACTAATTTTAGAAATAATAAAGTTCGAGTGTATATGTTTTATGCCACTAATATATTAAATCACAGTTCACGACATATTTAAAGTCACTAATATATTAAATCACAATTCACGACATATTTAAAGTACACAATTTCTGTAAAAAACAGTTTTCAAGTGTTTTATATCGTAATGAATTTTCTTTTTTGTATCGTTGCAGTAGACCTTTTGCTTCTTTCATGTTTTTAAATGAAGAGCACTGAAGTAAAGCAGTATTTCTAATATTCAAGTTTTTCTTTAATCTTGGAAAATATTTTCTTCTAAATCTTGTGTTTCATCCAAAGAACAACTGAAAGTAATAACAACATACGTGAGATAAATTATATAAAATTTAATTTTACATGACTTTTAATATTAGAATGTATAATTCATATTCTTATTTATTCCTATTGTTAAATGCAAAGTTGTATAATATGTTATATTCAGATAAAAAGAATATTGATTTTTTATAAGAATTGTGTTAAGTATACTCCCTCATAACTCCCTTCTCCATAAGAGGAAATCACAACGTTGGAACGTATAAAATTCAAATTGTTAAGACTGAATCATGGATTTCATTGTTGCAAGATTGAATTTCGTTCTTCTCATTTTTAGTTTGTTTTCCGTATTTCCAGATTGAAAATTAGCTAAATAGAAAAATAAAATAAAACGACCTTAAATATCAGAAAAACTCATATTCAATGTATATTGATTGTACAGTGATTAAAATTCCTATTCTCTACGCTAAATCTTTTAATATATATAAATTCTCTTTTTAAATTATTTGATATTTGCAGATTTAATAAAATACCAATGAACTTTTAAAAAATATATTTTGGTAATTTAAAATTTTTTGTGAAGAGTCAATAGTGAATTTTTTAAATTCTTCTAAAATCATGTCTATACCAAAAATATCTATACAGAATGTAAATGGTATGTAAAAAAATAAGTCTAAACTGGAATAAAACTACATTTTGTTATTGTAAAAGTTTACATTGATTAACTACTTGTAATATGAAACATAAAAGATTACGAGTAGTTCAAGCTTGTAATATTTTCAGTCGACTGCAAATTTAACAACTTGGCTCTGTTGGTAGAACTGTGAACAGAATATCTATTGGCACATGTTTTTCCTTAAACATGGAGAAGGAAGTGTTATGGTTTGGGCATAAACGGCAGCCTATGGAGATGGAAGACACGTGTTTAATGATGGAAATATGTATGGAGAATGTCCATATATGATCAGAAAATTGGCAAACACCACAGAAAAACTATTAATGGACAATCACTGCCAAACAAATTCAACGCTGTGCTGGAGTGGAGTGAAGAGACAATCCATCAAGATATTGAAATATTCAATCTTTTGGTCAATCAATTGAAATATTCAATCTTATAACTAAATTTTAAATTGAAATAAATGTGATATGTTCCATGACCATTTGTTACGTCGATTTTGTTTCTGTACTTTTCTACTCTAAATTAGAATCATTAAGTGAAATAAATATGTTATTATTTCGTTTTCAAAGACAAGAAATAATATAAGATTTATATAAATATCAGAAAATTAAAAGTTCTAATTACATTTCTTTCTGAATTCGCTTAATGACAGTCACTGCATATTTCCAAACGAATTTGAAAAAAGAAAATTGGAATGACAATTAAAAGTAAATATCAAAACGAATGGTAAAACCTTAAACATAAAAAATTACGAGGTTTGCCTAAAATTGTTATTATTTTAAACTTGTATAGTTACTCGGGAAAATTATTTTGATATTTAAAGTGATGAAAATAAATGACTTTAACTTATTTCATATAAAGTCAAAGTTGCATTTGAATTAAGTAAGAATGCATATTAAATTGGAAGTAATGAGTTAGAGTCAACTTGAAAATATTTAATAAGAATGTTAAATTTCGTCTTCAAAATGAAAAAATGCAGCAACCAGTTGATTAACTTTCTTGGCAACAATTTGTGGCGCCATCTGTTACGATATTGTCTTAAAAATAACTTTTTATACTTTTAATTATAATAAAATGGCAAAAAAAATAATTTTGAGGGTAG